GGATTTTATGGTGAGTAACAAAAAAATCCCATTTTTCACAAAGTCTGGTGCCTCAGTTGTTCTGATGCAATTTGCATGTACTCTAGAATGTTATGAAGAGTGATCAGATGAATTGCAATCAATTGCAAAGTGCCTGTTTGCTATGAAAATGAACCTAATCCCGATAAAAACATTCCCACTGCATTTCAGCCCTGCCACAAAAGGACCAGCTGACATCATGTCAGTTATTCTCTCGTTAACACAGGTGTCAGTGTTGACGAGGACAAGGCTGGAAAACATTCTGTCATGCTGATTGAGTTAGAATAACAGACTGGAAGCTATAAAAGAATGGTGATGCTTAAAATCATTGTTCCTCTGTTAACCATGGTTACCTGCAAGGAAACACGTGCAGTCATCATTGCTTTGCACAAAAAGGGATTCACAGGCAAGGATATTGCTGCTACTAAGATTGCACCTAAATCATCCATTTATCGGATCATCAAGAACTTCAAGGAGAGAGATTAATTGTTTGTGTAGAAGGTTTCAGGGTGCCCAAGAAAGTCCTGCAAGCGCCAGGACCATCTCCTAAAGTTGATTCATCTGTTGGATCAGGGCACCACCAGTGCAGAGCTTGCTCAGGAATGGCAGCAGACAGGTGTGAGTGCATCTGCACGCACAGTGAGGTGAAGACTTTTGGAGATGGCCTGGTGTCAAAAAGGGCAGCAAAGAAGCCACTTCTCTCCAGAAAAAATATCAGGGACAGACTGATACTCTTCGAAAGATACAGGGATTGGACTGCTGAGTACTGGAGTAAAGTAATTTTCCTTGTCTGGAGAAGAAAAGATGAGCGCGCTACTATCAGTCCTCTGTCATTCAACATAAAAGCATCCTGAGACTATTCATGTGTGGGGTTACTTTTCAGCTAAGGGAGTGGGCTCACTAATAATTTTGCGTAAGAACACAGCCATGAATAAAGAATGGTACAAAAACATCCTCCGAGAGCAAGTTCTCCCAGCCATCCAAGAACAGTTTGGTGACGAACAATGCCTTTTCCGGCATGATGGAGCACCTTGCCATAAGGCAAAATTGACAACTAGGTGGCTTGGGGAACAAAACGCCAAAAGTTTGGGTCTATGGCCAGGAAACTCCCCAGACCTTAATCCCATTAAGAACTTGTGGTCAATCCTCAAGAGGTGGGTGAACAAAAAACCCCCAAAAATTCTGACAAACTTCAAGCATTGGTTGTGCAAGAATGGGCTTCCATCAGTCAGGATGTGGCCCAGAAGTTGATTGACAGCATGTCAGGGCAAATTGCAGAGGTCTTGAAAAAGAAGGGTCAACACTGCAAATATTGACTCTTTGCATAAACTTAGTGTAATTGTCAATAAAATCCTCTAACACCTATGAAATGCTTGTAATTATATTTCAGTATATCACAGTAACATCTGACAAAAAGATCTAAATACACTGAAGCAGCAGACTTTGTGAAAATTAATATTTGTGTCATTCTCAAAACTTTAGGCCACAGTTGAACTCCATCTCCCATAGCTGTTGACTAATTGGTTACCTTCCTCAACCATTAATTTTAACAGTGTTTTTGGAGCTCACAGATATTTGTATTTATAAAGTGATAGTGCTTAATGAAATATGAAGTCTTATGTGATATTAAATATTAAACAAAATGGGCCAACCGTAAAGATACAACCAGCTTTTTCTTTTGTGTTTTACAGACATGATGAAACCCTTATCAAAGAATGTATTACACTGTTATGTGGTTATAGTACATAATTTAACATCTACTAATACAGCAGAACTAAACCCATCAATTTACCTGTTTTCCCAAAACAGTCACATTCAAGCCATGTCATGAATGAAAACTATTTGTTGCTTGCACTCTCAATCAAACTGTCAAGACCTCAAATGGCTGGTGTCATAACGGATCACATGTGCAGCACCGTGGTGGTTGCAGATCAAACAGAGGCTAAAATGGCCACTTCTTTGGCTGTAAAGGAGAGGAGGGTTTCACTTTAATGAGTTGTGTGAATGTTTATTTAGTGGTTCTTGTGGGGTTAGTAGTTTTATTCCCTGTGACATCATTGCAGATGCTTAAATGTTTCCTTATTTACTGGAGCCAAAAGGAGGGGTTGGGAGAGCGGGAAACATTTTGCAGAGTGGTAAGGGATGGAGTTAAGTAAAGCAGGGTGTTTGAAGAGAAGAACCTATATACAATGCCCCTGCTCCAAATACTAATATCTGCTTTTTGCTGAGAGCACTCATGTATTGAGGTCAGCACTGTTTCGCTACAACTGCAAACTAAAAACACCATTTTATTAGTACTATGCAGTACAGTACCACCAGAGGATGAAGTGAAGACATGAGTGAGACAGGTATGCTGCAATCTAAATCAGTAAAGCCAAACTAAATCTCTAAAAATACTCAGATCCACCTTCCAGCGATGCCGACTGCTGTCATCGTTTCTCTGGCTGCTTCCAGGTGCCAGGATTCCACCTCCTAATTGTCTGGAGAAGGAATGATGTTATCCCATGCACTGGAGTCAGTCATTTTGACACACCCGAAGTGTTCTGTGAATGCACACTGAGCTGTGTGTGCAATAGAAGACTGCAAGCATGCTGTTTGTTATTGCAGACGAGATACAGCATGTCTGTTTTGCAATAAATAGCTGCCTGTTTGATTTTTTTTTTTTTCTTTACTACTTGATTTTAGTGTGTCCAGAGTTCAGCTTTATTTAAAGCAGTATAAACCCAAAAACAAAAATGTATTATATTGCAGCTTACCAATTCTTAAATGTGTGGCTGCATTTGTTTAAACTGCAACTGCAAAGGTGCTGCACGTGATCAGTTGTAACACCAGTCAATTTCATGGTCTGACAGTTTGGTTGAGAACCCAAGCAAATGTGACAGTTAGCAGTACCAGCATGCCGGAAATGTAACTGTTTTTTTTTAAACCATTAACTTGATGGGTTTAGTTCCACTTTAAGGCTTTTTTTTACTTAATTTTCATCTGGTGATCTGGCCAGTAAGTCTGTTATTTTTCAACTTCCTGTAACAGACAAAGCTGTCCAGCAAAAGTGGCAGTTACGACTGACGGGTGCTTATGATTGTCAGCTTTTATACATTTACGTAAAATCTTTATCACAAATCCTTTATTCATTTACATAAAAACTTTATCACCGCAGTTGCGGTTCGAAAGTCCAGTATCTAGGAGGTTAAAACTGATCACTCTTTAGAGAGCACCACACTCGTGAATGAGCTCTTTATTATAGTTTGTGGGTTTTTTTTGTTTTTCTTTTTAATTATTTTTTTACAATTTGTTTAATTTTCCTACATTTTAAAAAAAATATCACCAGAGCAGTGCAGTGGTGCTATGGTGACATTGTACTGCTCTGCTCAATGATCAGAGCCATGGTTTGCTGTTAATGGCATATTGTGTCTCTGATCACTAACCAGAGCAGTGCATTGTCACCATAGTGACACTACACTGCTGTAATCACAATGATCTGTTACCAGTTTTTTTTTTTCTTTCTGTGGTACAGTGCCCAGCACTGTACTACACATTGTCTCTCCTCTCACAGCTAATTTGTTGGAAAATGTGTGTTTGATCAGCACTTGGGGATGTGCAATTCATATTGCCTGACGCCAGGGACATGCATTTCCGGCCGCTGGGCAGGTGGGGTTTTTTTTTTTACATATAGCCCTGCTACGGGCAAGCAGCAGGGTTTACTTTTTTGCCCCTGTGCTTCATTTCGCCTCCCCCCCCCCAAGCTAACTACAGGCTCAGCCTCCTTGCCCCAGCTCTGCTTTTCCCATAGAGCCCTTCGATGGCCAATCGTCCATCAGCTGCCCACACCCCTGCCGCCTATTGGCCTCCAGGTCCTGTCTGTGTTACTGACTTCCCCATTTGACAAGCGGCATATTTGCTATGACAGATGGTGGTCGCACACAGCCTCTTGGGAAATGTAGCTCCTCACTCTGTTTTCAGCCCGCAGATAAATACACTTCCAGCAGCCAAGGGGAAGAAGGGGGGACGCTGATCAAGCTGGCAGGATCACAGGTGGTACACTCCCCTGCCTTCTGTCCGTTACATAGACCGGAGCTGCGTAATATTAATCCAGCCTGCCTGGATGACTGGGGGTGTCTGCTAATTCCTGCCTGTCCTCCACAGCTTGGGAGCACCACCACACTCCTTTCTGAGCCAGGCCTGTCCTCATTGTGTCACGTCCCACTACAGCAGTGTTTCTCAACTCCAGTTCTCATGGACCCCCAACAGGTCATGTTTTCAGGATTTCCCTCAGATGAAACAGCTGTGGTAATTACTAAGGCAGTGAAACTGATCAAATCACCTGTGCAAAATAATGGAAATCCTGAAAACATGACCTGTTGCGGGTCCATGAGGACTGGAGTTGAGAAACACTGCACTACAGGCAGGATGACTACACAGCCTATCTGCCCTGTGCTCCTGGTGTCCACCCCATGGAGGATGGACACAAAGAGCCAGGAGGATGTCTTCCCCCCTCCCTGCTAGCCCCTGGGTGTTTTGGTTAAAATTATTTTTTTCTTATCAGGACATGCACATTGTCATAAGGGGCAAGTAAATTGGGACCCAGATTTAGTCCCATGGACAAGTAGTTTTTAAAAAATGTCCACACCCCTGAGCACTGCAGCCAATCGGCTACAGTGTTCATCGGTATATTCTGACAGTGGAGCAGTCCCTGTTGTCAGAACACAATAGTGCAATGAGGAGGATTCCCTCAAAATCCTCAAATGTGTAAATGGAGGAATCCAATAAGTTTCTTTTGATTAGCCCACTAGCTGCCTGAAAAAACTGATGAATGCTTCAGAAGGTACTAGTGCACAGGAGCTGCTCAGCCTCAACTGTCAGGAGAGCTCAGTGGAGGGAGGGAGAAAGTGGTGACACAGGTTATATCCTCATGCTGTCAATAAAGAATGAAAACATAAACTCAGTCGCCTGATCCTCCATATTTACATACTTTCTTTTTTTAGAGAGGAAGAAGAAGATAAATTGATAGAAGCCATGATCCAAAAGAAAGGTAAGAAATTAAATATGAGTGGAAAATATTTGATTAATTATTTGTAGATTTAATGTATTAGCAGACATTATTGGGGAATATTTTTCTAGTTCCATTTCTATAATAACCCTTTTTTATATGCGTATAACATAAATACATAGAACCTAAAGCCCCTTTCACACTGATGGTCCGATCGGGTCCACCTGTCAGTTTTTCAGGTAGACCCGATTGGACCATCCATAGACTTCTACGGACCAGCGAGTACCATCGGACAAGTGTCCACTGACACCCGCCGGCATCCGAACCGATCCTGCATGCCAAAAACAGATGGATGGGGATCCATTCCCCATCTGTCTGGTGGATCAGATCGGATGGCAGTCGGATTAAAACGAACATGCGGTCCATTTTCATCCGACTGCCTCATAGAAGACAGCGGGCAGTGTCTGTGTCCACTCTGCAGCAGTGGAGCGTACACAGACCTGTCATCCGTGTGCTCAACGGGGATCAGCGAAGAGATTTTTTTAAAACCTGAATCCTTAGTGTCACTTTAAACTGTATTTTATGAAACTGGGACATACCACAGTAATGGAGGGATGCCTCTTAAAGGAAGTCTACAGATCTACCGCCACAACACTGAATGGAGGGCCAGACCAATTCAAACTGGAATTTCTAGCTGACGAATCCTGAAAGGTCTTTGTACCAATAGGAGCTCTAAAACACCCAAGGTCTGGAAGAACAGGCTGGCCCTCCAGAAGCAGGGTAGTACGCACTGCATCCATAAGGGTTGAAACAATCCCCTGTAAATCTTAGTCAATGGCACTTGACTGTGGTACAAAACAAAAACAGTCTCTTTATAAATAGACAGATAGTACTCATAATCTGAGTCAGAGATTGGGACAGGATGCTGACCTGGTTTTCTTTAAGGTTTCTGGAGGGTAAGACACTGACTCTGCAAGGGTTGGTACTGGGCATGCTTAGAGCCTCCGTTGGCAGAGTGACCTAGCAGCTGAGCACAAATGGTTACTAAGTCTTGTGTGGAAATGGAGGTCCCTGTGGTCATGGCTGAGGACTCAGACTCATCCAACAGAGCTAAGTAACATTTTGATGATGATCCTATGAAAACCGGTGTCCCCAGGTTCCAGATTACATGCACTGGTTCCTATTGGTGAGGCCCTCAGAACCTATAAGGGAGTATGAGCTGAAGGTACCCATGGTAGCTGGTCTGTCTCAGCAAAGATGTGTCAGTGCATCCAGGTCCAGTGTGAGGCAAAGTATCAGGTTCTCATGAACTGTTACTGGGGGGGGGGGGGTTTCGGCATTCGGAGCTCGCTATTGGTGGGCAATGGAAACAGAATGGATATCCATGTGGTGCTTCACAAGCGAGTGCAGCAGTTGGATGGCGCTTCCTTAAGGCTGAATGACAAGAAAGGTTATATGGAGCACAAGTCGTTCTACCTAACAGATTATATCACCTCTGTAAAACTGGTGGTGGTAGGAAATCAGGTTGACGAGTGAGGTAATTTCCAGTTCTTTAGCCACAACAACCTTACTCACAAAGTGAACCTTCAGAGATGCAGTCACAGCTGGTTATGTAAAACTGTTCACATATAAAAAGTTAAATTGTGTATTTAGCAAATGGCTTGAAGTTCTGTTTAATTTGCCACCATCAATCATTCCCATCTACCAGTATTTGCTATATACATGCATATTAAAGTGTACACATATGTATATGTTTTTAGCTGTTACTTAGAGCGTAGTTCCAGTGAAAATAAATAAAAATTAGTCAGCAGCTACAAAAACTGTAGCTGCTGACTTTTAAAAAACGGATACTTACTTGTCCCTCGGTCCCACGGTGTCCACCCAGTTTCACCAGTGTTCCCAGAGCTGGCACCTTCAGTGTGGGCACCCAGCTGTGACAGCTTGCGGCTTCACAGCCGGATGCCCACTGCGCATGCGCAAGTAGCGCTGTGGTTTGTGAATGGTCCTGTAGTACTATGGGGAGGAACAACGTCCGCTTCCAATCGGTGTTCTAAAAGCGGAACTTCCCCTTTTGGGTGGAGCTCCGCTTTAACTTTATGTTCTGTTACTGAGCTCATTTCCATTATCTGAATCTCATTCCTCATTTGATTCTTTCAGATTTTCATGCAGATTCTCAAAAGAAGAAGAAAGGAAAACTCAAACCAATGAAAGTTCTTAAATTGCTTTCTCCTAAAGATGCAAAGCATAAGAGCCCAAAGGACAAAAAAGAAAAAGGAGAGGGGGCTAAGAGGTAGATCAGAACTGATAAGGAAGGGAGTAAAAGCAGATTGGACCACATATTTGCCGTGCCTTCCCTTCCAGTTCAGACTAAGATGTCAATCTCCCTATCAAATACCAGGAGACCTGATATGACATGAACTTCAGTCTACAACAGTGGGAGATGAATAAGGTTCTAACCTTGCTGAATAAATATGCACCCAGGTAACCTCATTAATATGTCTTATGTGAAATGCAGATATATTTATGGCTCCCTTTCATTTAGTTAGTAAATGAGTAACAGCTTCATTCAGCTTACTAGATCAACAAATGATAACCATTACATGAAGCGTAATATCTCAGATCAGCGCAGCTGTTATGTTTTTTACTACCTTTTAATTCCTCTTATAGCATACAGCTGTAGCTCATGACGCTGGAACAATTATTGTAAACCACTACTATACTTTGTGCATCGATTTCTTTACAATAAGTTTATGGTTTACTGTAGGCTTTTTACAGCATTCTATTTTTGAACCCAGTAAGTTGTGTGTGGGTAAGATTTTTGACTGCATTGTTAAAATTTGCATCTCTACAGATTCACAAACCCTTTTTTTCAGACTATCTATCCCAGCATGTGATATCTGTCCAAATGTTTTCAATATTGCAGGCTGTGGTGTCTATTTTATTTATAAATGTTTTCACTCAACTTTTACCCAGAATTTGCACATTTTCCAGTCAAATCCAATTAGAACAATGTGTAAATCTTGGGTGAAAGCTGTGCGAATGTTGGGAGAAAACTTTTTGTGAGTAGACTCAACGGGGTTGATTTACTAAAACTGGAGAGCGTAAAATCTGGTGTAGCTCTGCTTAGAAACCAATCCGCTTCCAGGTTTTTTTTGACAAAGCCTAATTGAACAAGTTGAAGTTAGAAGCTGATTGGCTATCATGCAGAGGTGCACCAGATTTTGCACTGTCCAGTTTTAGTAAATCAACCCCAATGTGTCCCAGCATTAGGCCAGGGGTGTTCAACTCAATTTCATCATGGGTCGCATCAGCATTAGGTTGCCTTCAAAGGGCTGGTTGTATTTGTAAGACTATGGATGCAGAGTTCAGGAGTACTGCTACGTACAGAGTGCAGGGCTTTAGGGGTGCGCTACATACAGAGTGCAGAGTTCAGAAGTGTGCTGTGTACTGAGTGCAGGGCTTAGGGGTGTGCTATGCACAGAGTGCAGGGTTCAGCTCTGTTTCAAGAGCTGTCCACATCTCTTTTCCACCTCTCCTTGACTTCTGTGCCATTCTCCGCCACTTTCCGGCTAAAAAAGCCCCGGGTGTAAGGGCCACATGAAATGGCCTGGCAGGCCGGATTCGGCCCCCGGGCTTTGTGTTTGACACATGTGATCTAGGCATTTGCCTAAAAATTACAAACTGTAGTCCAAAGATGACTAAATGATATTGTGGCAAGTTGATAGCCAATATACCAATCGTAATCTCAGCTTTCCAACTAGGAAACAGTAGCAGATAAGTCACACGTTTTATAGCATAGTCAGTCTTCTGAGTGGTGGTGGTGTTTTTCACACCCATGCACTGTCATCCAAACCTGTCTGAAAGTCTGATATTAACCACTTGATTCCCAGGCCAATTTTGAAACTTCTCACATATGTAAAAATATACATTTCTTTGCTAGAAAATTACTTAGAACCCCCAAACATTATGTATTTTAACCACTTCCAGACCGGACACTTTTACCCCCTTCCTGACCAGGGCAATTTTCAGCTTTCAGCGCTATCACACTTTGAATGACAATTGCGCGGTCATGCAACACTGTACCCAAATGAATTTTTTACCATTTTTTTGAGACAGATAAAGCTTTATTTTGGTTTTTTCACCGCTGGGATTTTTTTTTGCTATGTAAATGAAAACATCCAAAAATTTTGAGAAAAAGTGTTGTTTTTATAAAAGTTTGCAAATAAATAATATTTCATCATAAATCTTTGGCAAAATTTATTCCGTTATCTTTTTAGTAAAAAAAAAAAATCCAAATTAGTTTATAACCAAAAATTATATAATTTTTAAACTTTATTTTTTTAATTTTTATTTTTTTTTTTTTTTTTTTTTTACATACTGTCACACTAGCAGTACAGTGTACTACTTGTGGGGGGTGATGAAGATTTTTTTTTTTTGTTTTACACTGATTGCTTTTACACCCATATAGGATGTAAAAGCAATCATTTCTCTTTCTCTCTGTCTGCATTCTTGCACTCATTGAGAAGTACTGAGTGAGCTGTGATTGGTCACAGCTTATGACATGGTACAAGGCTGTTGTGAATAGCCTTGTACCATGTGACCTCTGTGATCATTCACAGATTTCACACGTAGTAAGCAATGATGTCACAAGTGACATCTTGCTTACTACTTTGCATGTGATCACTGATTGGCCAATCAGTGATCACATGATCGGGACCTCGTACAGAGGTCCCGTCCGAAGATCGGTGTTTCACTGTGTCCGGAGGGAGCGCGCACAAGCAGGGTGCGGGGAAGCCGTTTATAAACAGCCACCCGACCCGCAGTGCCACCGTCCGGCCGTTTATATGCAACGGCCGGTCGGGAAGTGGTTAAGCAAAAGCCCTAGAGAATAAAATGATGTGTGTTGCAATTTTTTTAATGTCACATTTTATTTGCAAAGCGGTTTTTCAAACGCAATTTAAAAAAAAAAAAAACAACTCTTTAATGTGTTTTAGTGCACACAATCAATATAATATCCAACTTTTTGGTAAAATATAAAAGATAATGTTACGCCAAGTAAATAGATACCTGAAATGCCACGCTTTAAAATTGTTTATGCCCATTGAACGAAGGGAAACTAAGGTACCTACAAATCTTCATAGGCTTCAATTAAAAGCCTTTATAGGTTACCAGTTTAGAGTTACATAGGTCTGGAACTAAAATTATTTCTCTTGCTCACGGTGATACCTCACGTGTGTTGCAATCTCCGTTTATAGATGTGCGTGGGACTTACACATGCGTTCGCATTTGCACATAAGCAAGAGGACCAGGAGTGCTTTAATTTTTTTTTCATTTATTTTACTTAAAACTTTTGTTGTACACTGTCCCCAGGCATCTCCTCTCGCCTACAAAGTATCTGGTCAAACCGAGATCGGTTTGATCAGATGCTTGTACAACCTGGTAACGGCTTATGAACAAAGAACTGAACTGGTTGCTTTTGATTTCTGATCTTACAGAGAAGGAGGAACAACATCAGTTCCTTTCTCTCTCTCTCTCTCTCTCTCTCTCTCTGTGTGTTGCAGCCGATGCCGCTGGTCAGAGCAGACCCGGGCTTCCCGATGGGACGGGAAAGCCTGGGAAAGGGAACGGGGGGTAGAGGGGAACCCCCTTTTGCTGCTTGTAGAAGTGAATAAGTAACTGTATATCCACTCATTTCACATCTACATGAAAGGGCATCGCCAGGTGAAAATGTTGATACCAGGATTCCTGTAGCTGTAGGCTGATGTAGGGCATCATCCCAGTATAACCACTTCATTCTCAAGATGTCATATGACGTCAAACCCAGGGAGAAGTGGTTAACTGCTTCCCGACCGCCCTATAGCAGAAGTACTGCAACAGGGCTGCAGGGATGCGCAAAATCACGTTTATATATATATATATGTGATTTTGGTTTTCTGGGTAGGGGCGTGCGCGCTCCCTATCCGTGTCGCTATTGACTTATTGGCATGTCAATCACCGGGTCCCGGCTGCAAATCGGTGATCGCCGGCGGAGCTGACAGGAGAGATCTGTATGTAAACAGCACAGATCTCTCCCCCTTTCAGCACAAACAGGCTCCTTTTGTATTGCTCTGCACAGCAGAGCAATACAAAGCAGCTTGTCTCCCTAGTTAATCACACACAGCACACTATGTAAAACATAACACCGCAAACTGTTAACCCTTCAATCACTCCAAATGTTAACCCCTTCCTGCCCAGTGTCATTTGTACAGTGTCAGTGCTTTTTATTAGCACTGATCACTGTATTAGTGCAACTGGGGATGTCAGTGGCAGTCAGTTCTTCCCCAGTGTCAGAATGCCCGCCGCAGTCCCACAATAAGTTGCTGATCGCCGTCTTTACTAGTAAAAAAATAAAATAAAAATTCCAGTATATATACACTGCCATTTGTAGACGCTATAACTTAACGTATTGGGATTTTTTTTTTTTAGCAAAGACATGTAGCAGAATACATTTGGCCTAAATTTATGAAGAAATTTTATTGGATGTTTTATAGCAAAAAGTTTTTTTTTCTTTTTTCAAAACTGTCAGTAATTTTTTGTTTATACCGCAAAAAATAAAAAATGCACAGGTGGTCAAATACCACCAAAAGAACTCTATTTGTGGGGGAAAAAAAAGGACCTAAATATCATTTATGTCAAACGTTGCATGACTGCAGTTGTCCGTTAAAGTTGCAAAAAATGGCCTGGTCAGGAAGGGGGGTAAATCCTCTTGTGGGCAAGTGGTTAAATAAAGTGTGCTTTCCTTGACTTGTTTGTGGTAGTGTTAAGGGCCTATAAACCCAAAAACACACACTGACCTATGCAAACGGAAGCATGATTGCATAGATAGGTCCATGTAAAAGAAGCTACCGGCTTTTCAGAGTAGATGTTTGAGATGAAGTATTGATTGTGGAGAACCCTGTTCTTCCCATATACAGCTGACACTTTGTTCAGAAATTGAAATACACTGAAGGTCAGTGGCAGACTATGGTGTCAAAGTTTAATTGAACAAGCTTAAGTAAGAAGCCGATTGGCTGCCATGCACAGCTGCTACAGATTTTGAACTCTCCAGTTTTTAGTAAATCATCCCCTATGTGTAATTAATCCTCAGGCTGTTTTCTGTTTATGGGTTTCCGTGCTGAATAATTCCACTGTATGACTGTGGTTAATATCTGAAAATTTTAGATCAAAGCTTTGAAAGATTTTGTTTAGATATATTTTTATAGATTGTCATGTGCAGTAAGTTATTTAAACAGTTTTTCTTGATCTAGAGAGAAAC